GCCCCATGCCGCCTCGCGGGGTCCCCCCATGTGGATACAGCACTGCTACTCCCCAGGGAGCACCTGGCTCCTGCCCCACACTCCCTTTGCAGCCTGCAGTGCCCTACGAGTTGCTGAAACACACGGTGCTTTGGACACTGGCTACGCACCTCCCGCAATGCCAGACACGATGGAGGCAACTCCGGAGGCCGGGGCGCCGCGCAGCCCCTCGATGGTTCTCTTGGACTGGTTGTTCAAGCGCTGCTTCAGCTCCACTTTCTCCGACTCCAGCTGGTCGATATCTGCCTGCAGAGCATCCATGGTCTCCTCAAACTCCCTGTGGGAGGGAACAGAGCCACAGGTCTGACCGGAGCTGTTCCTCCCGAGGAAGGAGACAGGCAGCTCAGGATTGAGATCTCCTAGCCCAGGTACACCCTGCTGCCACCAGGCACCACCTCGAAAAGCTTCAAGCACAAGCAAGAGGGTTAGGAGCCGCAGCAGTTCCTGCTGCGCGTTGCAGTATCACGCACAGAGGAAGCATTTATCAGTGCTGAGCCCAGCACCTCCTCAGCTTCCCTGCAGAGCCCAGCTTTCCGTCTACCACACAATCCTGCCTCCCTCCACCCTGCAGGGTTGCACTCCCTGTGTGTCAGCCGCCTTCCTCTGCCATGGGCCGCCCGTGGTGAGAGACCATCGCAGCAAAGTGGGAAAACATGCAAAGGGAATAAACCTTCCCCAAAGAGCATGGGAGTAGGGCCTCTCCCAGGACTCCTGCTCCCATGGCGAGCGGGCGCTGGTTCCTCTGCTCATCCTCTGCTAACCCGAAAGGCTTCCAGACCGCCCAGCCAGGGCAGGCGGGCTGCTCTGCAGCAGGGCCTCTCCACAGCCAGCCCGGTTTGCAGCCCCCCGCTCACACTCACTTCTCCTTCTTTTTGAGCAGTGTCTGGGTCTCATCCAGCTTTGTCTGTATCTTTTCCACTCGGTCGTCAGCATCCTTGGACGCGCTGTCGAGCTTCTTCTCCAGGAGGCTGAGCCGCACGTTTGCTTCGCTGAGCTCCTCGCCCTGCAGCAGCAGCAGGAGAGCCGGGCGCTGCAGGGGCTGGGGCGCTGCGGGAAGCCTCACGCACCCAACGCCCACCCCGCTGCCCCAGAACAGCACGGGACACAGGGACAGCCCCGAGCAGGGAGTCACGGGGCCACACGGCAGCAATGTCTCCAGGATTGCCGATTGGGACTGCAAACCGTCTGCTCCGGGGCTGGAGCACCCGGACTGGGCAGCCGCGGTGGAGCTCAGCTGCAGATGCAACAGCTTCCCTTGATCTTGAGGGATTTCTTCAGCTCTTTGATCACCGTCTCCCTGTCCTCCAGCTTCAGCCCCAGCCCCTCGGCATCGGTGATCTCTGCCCGAAGAGCTGCTGCGCGCAGGTCGGCGGGTGGCGTGGGCTGCCACGGACACCACGGGGACAGGACACGGTTGGTACCGCACGGAGAACCCCAGAAGCAGCACAACGCATCGCTCAGCAACTGGGGGCCCATTCCCTGCCTCCCTGTACCCCGCGGGCACCTCTGGCGCCTCCCTGAACCACAGCCCTGCCAGCAGACATGGCCTGAGGGTGCAGGCAGGGCGAGCGCCCCCAAGCTCTTCAAAGGACAGC